TATTCTAAACAAATCCATACCTAAAAATGTGAAATTAAATTCCTAATGCAAAATGCATATTTTGTATTTTTAATATGAATTATTATGCAACCAATTAACACCAAATTCAACAAAAATTCACAAAAAATTGTAAAATAATAAAGAAATCAATTATTTGAAACTTTTGGAATAATTTGCTTAGGGCAAAAATCACGTGCTCACAGGTAGTACAAACTGGAGAATAAAGCGGGTAGCTTTTCACAATATATTATCCCGCTACAAGTTGTAGTAACAGAAGATATTAAATCTTTCCTTTATTTATAGTCTCAATATAATCAACCGCTTTCGCGTATACTTTGGAAACTGAATAAGTTTCTTTGAGACTTACTACAACACAATACCTTATTGGTAATTAATTGTGTTTCTCCAAAATAGTATAATTGGCTCTTGCAAAGTTCTCAATTAATTTTGCAGTACCACATATTCGTCAACACCCATATGGTGAATATCTCTTTTAAAGAGAAAGTTATACCATTATGGTTATGGTCAAAATTATATGCAAGATCTGTTTCTTGCATTACCGTTGTCTTTTAACAATCACAATACCAAAATATTTTGGCGTACAATAGGTACGTGACCAATGACCATTCATGCCATAATAATGACATTATTTCCTTATATCATCTCAAACCTCCTTTTAGAGGTGAGTGCGGTATATTCACTACCACTAGCACGTTCATATTCTTTGAAGAATGAATATGTATTCATAAATCAGATGTTGTCACATTCACATCATGAATGGGCCATAATCATCTATATGTGCTTTACAAAATCTCATGTCAAATCGATGACATATTTTTCACAGAGTGAAAGATTATTTTGAGAATCCTTATTGTTCTCATTACCACAAATGATGACGATTATAATTTCGTCTATTGCCACGTCCATATCCATTGATACATTCATAGTAATAATTTTGTCTTCTTTCAGACTTATCACATACTACTATCACATTCTCTTAAGGGAATGGGAATGGAGCAAATTTAATGGGACGGGTTTTCAATTCCTTGCCCACAATCATACATGAATTTTATCATGGCGAGGCATAGAAATTTTACCACTTCAGGTGGTTATAATTTCTTACAAACTCCATTAGAGTTGTAATCAAAATTTATTGTCTTTGCTTGTATTTAAAATTAAATTACAGAACAAAAGAGAAAAATACGGTAATATACATACCTTAAATCCAGAATTTAATCATGAAGGAAACTCATAGAACAATTGACAATCATTATGATCAATCCCAAAGCTTCTACTCAATTGGTTAGAGTCTCGTGCTGATAACGTGTTATAAAATAATAAAAGAACAAGAGCAATATTGCAGAGAAAAGCAGAGAGAGAGAGAATTCTTATTGAATTTTTGGGATGAATTACAATGGAGTAGAACCCTCTATTTATAGGGAGATGGTGACTTAGCCACCAAGTAATAAACCCTAGAATCTCTCTAAATATAGACATTCACCATAAATACAATTCTATTTATAACAAAAGTATCAATATAAAACTGGAACTAACTCATCTTATTAATTGAAAGTACCTATTAATAAAAAGGAACTACTTCCAATTACTACCTATTCTAAGTATGGTATGTCAGTGCTCCAACTACAGCTGCCATAGTCTCCTTTTTTTAATCTTCTCCAATGCTTTCTTATCTGCTGTAGTCATTGCTTTGGGTGCGCTAGCTGAACTCTTGCCCTATTCAAGCTCGGTTCTCAAAAACGATCCAAGAAACAATAGTGATTGCTTCGGTATGCTCATTTTTTTTTCTTTTTGACGTTTTTGGGTCATAAAACTGAAATTCCATCTGTTTCTAAAAATTTTGTGTGCTATAGCCCACACTATCTGCATGCATCCGGGCGATCGGACCCGAATCACCTAACATTTTATCGGCTCATAAAAAAACGACCCAAAGAACAATAGTGATCACTTCGCCATGACAATTCCTCCATTTTTGGTATTTTGGGACCATAAAACTGAAATTCTGCCCAATTTTCAGTTTTTCATGTGCTATAGCCCACGCTATCCAGCGATCGGACCCGAATAGCCTAAAATTTTACCAGCCCATCAAAAAGGACCCAAGGAACAATAGTGATCACATCGCCATGACTGTTCCTCATTTTTTAGCGTTTTGAGAACATAAAAATAGAATTCCGTCTGATTCTCCAATTTTCGTATGTTGTTGCCCACCTACCTGTATCCGGGTGACCGAACCTGTATCGGCTAAAATTTTGCCGGCCCGTCAAAAAGAACCTAAGGAACAATAGTGATCGCTTCGCCATGACCATTCTTGTTTTTTGGTATTTTGGGGCCATAAAATAGGAATTCTGCCTGATTGATAAATTTTCATGCGCTATAGACTACGCCGGCGGCCGGATCCGAATCGCCTACAATTTTGCTAGCCCATAAAAAATGACTCCGGGAATAATAGTGATCGCTTCACCATGTCTGTTCCTAGTTTTTTATCGTTTTGAGGTTATAAAACTGAAATTCCACCCGATTCTCATCTTTTCGTGTGCTACAGCCCATGCCACCTGCATGCATCCGGGTGACGTAATCGAATTGTCTAAAATTTTGTCGGGCGATCAAAAATGACCCAAGGAACAATAGTTATCGCTTCGCCATGATCGTTCCTCGTTTTTTGGCATTTTGGGGCCGTAAAATTGAAATTTCGCATGATTCCCCGATTTTCGTGTGCTGTAACGCTCGCCACCTGCATGCATCTGGGCAGCCGGACCCGAATCGTCTAAAATATTGCCTGCCCATCAAAAACGACCCAAGGAATAATATTGATCGCTTCGCCATTACCGTTGCTCAATTTTTGGCATTTTAGGGCCATAAAACTGGAATTTCATCTGATTCTCATATTTTGGTGTGCTATAGTCCGCGCCACCTGCATGCTTCCTGGCGTTCAGATCCGAATCTCCTAAAATTTTGCCGGCCCATAAAAATGACCCAATGGAACAATAGTGTTCTCTTAGCCACGACCGTTTCTCATTTTTTTGGCGCTTTAGGTCTATAAAATTGGAATTATGCCTGATTCCCAGATTTTTGTGTGCTATAGCCCACGGCACCTGCATGCATCCAGAAGACTGAACCCAAATAGCCTAAAATTTTGTCGGTCCATAAAAAATGACCCAAGGAACAATAGTGACCGCTTCTCTACGATCGTTCCTCATTTTCTGGTATTTTGGGGCCATAAAATTAGAATTCTGCCCGATTCCCAGATTTTCGTGCGCTATAGCCCATGCCATCTATATACATCGGGGCGACTGGATCGGAATCACCTAAAATTTTGGCGGCCCATAAAAAAATATCCAAAGAACAATAGTGATTGCTTCGCCATGGTTGTGGGGTTACCTTTTCATGTTGCCTAAATTGTAGTCTCCATCTTTATTTTGCTGTTGCAAAGGCTCTATTATTACCACCCTATGTCTTTAGTAGTTTATATTCTCTTTTGGATTTAAGACTGTTCCATAAGTAGTGCATGCATCCCTTTAATTTCTCTTTTTGTTCGATTAAATGAGAAAAAAACATAAAATAATTTAAGAATGTAATCATCCGAAATGCCATAAACCACTCATTCCTAGT